GGCTGAATAAATTAGCGACACAAATGATGTTGTTTTAGAATTTTAGATCACTAAGTTTGTCTCTTTGTACAAAATTCTGCATATTTCATGGCAACAAATGCTCTCATTTCAGAAGAAGGCACAAGCCATATGCCTTCATCAACCAATCTCTCTGATAGACTCAAAACGTTCAACTTGGCCTCAAGTTCTCCTCCTGTATGTGTATCTCAAGTCAATCAGAAGACTGTTAGAGGCACAGTCTCAACTCTGATGCAACTCATGAAGCCTGACTGGCTCTATCATTCCAGTCTCTGTGCCACATTTGGGGCAGGTAAAGCAGATGTCAGCGATCGTGTGGCTCTTGAGGCAGTAGTAGCAGAACACGTGGTTGCAGCCGACCGAATGGGGCATTGTGGGCCACTCCCCACAGACGGCGCACTCAGTGCAGTAGGTCTCCTCCGAACCTTCCGTTCCTCTCAGTTCGTTCAGAGGGGAGAACAGAGCGGCAACACTGGCCTTTAGCTTCCACATGTTTATGAGAGGTAGCAGAAAGATAAGGAACTCAGCAAAGCCGTTCCACAACAGCTCCCGGTTCAAGAACTGGAAGTTGATGTCTCGTGGTCCCTGGGGTCGACTGAAGACTGGCTGCACTCCCAGCAATCTTTCGGTAAGTGTTGGATAGGTTCCTCTTTGGAGGAACAGTAGGAAGTTGACCAGGCTGGCCACTTTAGTAAGGCCCGTCAAGATGCTGAGTACCTTCCGGGCCTTGCGGGCATTGGATTCTGCAGGGTGGTTGAGGAACAAGCTATGTGAGCGTTCTCTCAGCCACTTTTCGCCAACTGTCAGCAGAACAAACCAGAACTTTTGTGGCCGGCTCATGGGCCGGTACTTCTGTCCTGGGATCAGAGAGTTCTTGTACCGGATGTTGAGCAGTGATTGGCCCACGGTGGCACTGTTAGAGAAGACGGTGAACCTCCACAAGAGGAGCTGGAGAAGGGCCTTGAGTTCTGGTTCCACAGGGGTTAAG